AGACATAGACATTGGATCTGAGAAAACACTGAATTGGGAGTGAGGCAGCCCTGGTAGCCAGAAAATACTTGTTTTCTTCGCTTAGTTTCTGGCTGTCTTCTCCTGCAGAGGAGGGGACAATCCCCCCTCCCCCCTTGAGTAGTGGCTTCAGCATCCATCACTTGGTTGCATCAACAACCCACTTCCTGGAAGCTACGAGCTCTTCTGGCTGTTTATAAAGTTTTGCAAACACTAGGCACTCATGTGCCAGAAACTCACACTGTCCCAGGTGGAGAAAGGAAGTCACAGACACACACGAAATTATTTTAGTAAAAAATAAAATGAAAATCAGTTACATGAGCGCGAGGCTGAACCAAGATACCACATCAGAAAGTAGACGAGAGAGAGTTCTCCAAATTTGAAAAACAGAACTTAAGCTCACTATCAGACCCTCACACTTGGTTTGTCTGCCTATAAGTTGCTCTTAAACTCTTCAGTGTGTTTTTAGACAGAGAGAATCCCCTGTAAATGGCATTCTAATCAAATATGACAGCAGTTTAATTATGCTCAACAGATCTGTGAACTTAAAATGACATGCTGGATGGGTTTTTAAACCACTAAACGCTCTATAATTTACCTAAAATTAGATTTTCACAGACAGAATATGAATATCATCGATTTATTTTAAAGGAATTCCTCCAACCCACAGAGAGACAATACAGAAACAGAGCCACGGACTTCTCTAACACAAACCACTCAGTAGCCAGGAGGAGGGAGCATTTTTCTAATCTGTGTGAAGCTAAAAAGGAACCCAACGGGTTCCAGGAAGCTGGCTCTGAGCTTTGGGGGATTTTCTTATAGGGCGCTTCTAACTCTATTTAAAGCAGACTCAAGTAGACACAGCTGGAGGGTCAGGCCCTGCAAAGTAAACAAGAGTTAACTCAATTCAGATTCAAGACTTAGCTACAACCAATGGCTAATTATCTCTACATTTAATAATAATAATATCTGAAATACCACTTTTAAATGACCCATTGTAATCATATTTGCTCACTAATAGATTCTAATCTACAATTAATAGCTTGGAAGAAACCTCCCAATTAAGGGATCTATGGCAAAAGAAGAAAACTCGTAAGAATTGCACATTCTGGCAAGGAGCTCGAACATAAGAACTTTTAAAACACTCCCCACAAAAGCAAAGGTAGGGAAACAAATAACCTGTAATTTGAGAACATAAAAAAACCACAGTGCATGAAATATGTGCTCAGTAAACATTCTGTAAACACATAAATTTTTTTCAGAACTTGTTCATTTACACGTTTTTTAAGAGTCATCGTTTAGTGAATAGTTGTCATGTGAATGATATGTCCCCCAAAAGCTGTTAAATGAAAATCCTACACATTTACAGATGAAATTGCACACTTTGGATTTACTTCTTTAAAAAAAACAACTGTAGAAAGGGAGAGAATATTTGGGGTATAGAGCCTATGAGACAGACCACGAGATGGTAATTATTGAAGCTGACAGTCCCAGAATTCATGACATTATTAATAAACTGCCCACTTGTCTCTCTTCATAAAATAATGTTAAGAAGAAAACCCCCTACATTGACAGAGTGAGTTTATTTAAAGCATCTAGTTCACGGCAAACATTTCCTTAACTCCAAAGTGGTTTGAAGGCCAATCTTTCTAATCGTCTCCTAAGAATAAAAGTTCTCTTGGCAACAGGCTCGTCCCAGTCAGCTGACAGTTTTCACTGCCCTTTCTTGTTATCCAACCCACAGTGCCAATGCTTCAGATGCAAAGGCTTTCAAAGGCAGGGCACTGGAACCACAGGACCTGGAGCTACCTAGGTGCTCTATGTCCCAGTTCAGGCGCTCAGTCCTAAGGGTCCCCGAACGGCCATCAAAAGCAGGTAATCCAGAACAAAGAATTCAACAGTGCAATATGTGCTCTGCTGAGATGAGCAGTGAATGGTTTGAACAACAAATTATAAATTAGTAGAAAGGTCAAAGGACAGGCAGGAGGGAGCAACTCTTCCCTGCTGCACAAAGAAGCCACAGAAGGCGAATTTTAAGGGGGTTTGCTTTGTTTTTAAACCAGCTTTTAAAATGGTACTCATTCATTTCCAATTCCTGCTGATCAAAAAAGGTGAGAGACCTATGCATCACAAAGACTTTTAAAGACAAACCACCCTTTCTTGTCTTTTGCCAAAACAAACTCAAGGAGCGGTGATTGGAACCGGCATCCTGGTTCACAAGGAAGCATCGATGAATCCCGCCTCACGGAGATGAACGGATTGGTTGTTAGCACAATGGGCCTTACCGGTTAGGTTAGATTAAATAGTAATAAGGGTGCAAACAATTGCAGCCGTTCATGTGGGCAAGGCTGTGAATCATGGCCATTCACAAGGGGGAAAGATTCACGGACAGGTGCACCAGGAGCAATAGCAAACGGCTTCTCAAGGTGCATCCTTGCCAGGTTCCTCAGATGGCCCTGTGTTCGCTGTCCCCTACAAGTTACTGTACCGTAGTAAATAGACACAAGCAAATGCAACTTGTTATCTGCCTTCAGCCAATAACTCTCTCCCCTCCCACCTCCTCTCCTTCAAGTCTTTCCAAAAGGAGGTGGGTATGTAATGAGGCTCAGCGGGCCCTAAAGACTGTAACCTAATCTCATTTGGAAGAGCGCACCTGCATTCTTCCAAGCTACTGAGCTACCTGCATTTGGGTAGGGCTCAATTTCAAGGAAACCCTGAGAAACAAGGGGATAAAACGATTGGTTTAAGGACTTCTCACTTTCTTGCTTTTCCCCCCACCCACCCTCCCTAAAGAATAATGCTAAACAGGCAGTATTTATACAACTGGAATAGATTTTAAACTACCCCAACAATTTTTGCTAATTGTATAATTTACTGCAACTGTGTACGGCTTCCTGCCCACTCATCTGAGGTTCTCAAGGCACACAGGGAGTCTACCTGTTGCTGTGTTCATGTACTACCAAAACCGTCGCTGGAGAGTGATGCCTGGCTTGTGAGTCACGCCATACTCCCACACCAAAAGATCCCCTCATATCAGAAAGGGAAACTTTCCCCAGGAAAGCCTTTGTCATTGGGAAATGCAACTTGGAGGGAACTGGTCACGAGAACGGACGCACTGCCACCTCCACCTTGAACTGATGGAGCACACAGAGGAAGCAAACGGCACACATGCACAGTTTAACTATCCTCACAGCAGCTACAAGATAGGATACTATGATCCCCTTGGTTAGAAAGGGGCCAGAGGCTGGAGAGGGGAGACACCAGAAATGGACTCTAAAAATAACTTTCAATCTTTCCATCACTACTTCAAACTGAAGGGGTTGGCGCTGGGTGCCCCTTACCCTTACCCTTGCAAGGTGAATGGCACCAACACAGATAGCAGAGTAAAAGTAAAGGAAGCTCCATCCACATCATTCTCACCCATCACACACCAGAAACCAGGGTACAAGTCTCCAATGTCCATTTAGAGAGGAATCAAAGAAGTCAAGGCAGGAAAACAAAGAGTGTAAGACCCAGGGAAAGGAAGGAACCACTGCTGAAAATTTCGAACAACCTTTATTAGCAGATTGTGTAACTCTGTTTTAAATGTCTATGCATAACGTGCCTGGGTCAAAAAACAGATGATGATAGACAGGCAGTGGTGGTGGCACACGCCTTTAATCCCAGCACTTGGGAGGCAGAGGCAGGCGGATCTCTGTGAGTTCGAAGCCAGCCTGGTCTAGGTCTACAGAGAGAGTTCCAGGACAGCCAGAACTACACAAAGAAACCCTGTCTCAAACAAACAAAACAAAAAGCAGATGATAAAGGCCAGAGGAAGCTGTTCACTTAAGGACACTTTCTACTCTATCGGAAGACCTGCGTTCAGTTCCGAGCACCCAGGTCAGGCAGCCCGCAACTGTCTATAACTCCAGCTCTAGGAGAACCCAAAACCTCGGGCACCTGCATTCAAGGGTATACACCCCCACACAGACCCTCAGGCTCGCACATAATTAAAAATAATGAAAATCAATCTTTTTAAACCCCCCAATGAAGCACTAAATTACACAAAACATGACAGCATAGACGCATAAGGCTTTGGGGTAAGGAAAAGGCCACCCACCCAAGGGCAACTGGGCACAAATCGGCAGTCTGCAGTTTAACTGATGAAAAACTGAAATCTTCATTATGTTCTGCGTTCTCTGTTGACGTACTCATTTTGCTTAGTAACAGTGGCCATGTTAGCAACAGTTATGTATGTGACCAATTAACTGGTCAAACTGAACTACTCTCCTAATCTCTGTCGCTACATAAAACTATTTGGGCCAAATCAATAAATGAATGCAATTTCCACTGTACCAAGTTTAACCTCTGGTCTTCAAGGTCCATAAAAACAAATCTGCGATTTTACTAGACACAACAGCAGAAGATAACCAGCTAGTTACCAGCACAGAGAAAGAACCGAAGTAATGGGGTCCATCCCTAGTGAATCCCATTGGTTCAATACCCCCCTAAACTGTAAAAACATATTACTAATGGTCCCTAAACCTCCCACAGGCCAGACAACAGTTGACATTTTTTTCGTATTTCCCCTCCTCTGCCTGGGATTTTTCCCTCCACCCCTTTCTCCCCCCTGTCTCAAGACAAAGCATTCAGCCTTTGAAAGAGCATCCACTGTAAACAACTCTGAATATTAACACAGCCCAAAGTCCTGTTCACTTCTAAAAGACCCCCGGGGTTTCAAACTGCAGTTGCTGAGGAGCAGGGAAGGTCCCCAGTGAGCAAATGTCACCAGTCTCATTTGAAAATGAGGTTGAAAATTAGGCTTGCCCACAAAACTCAGTCTTCCAACCTATGGGGCAAAGAAGAATCCCTTTTATGTTTGAAACAAATGAGGGAAAAGAGGAGGACACAGACAACAGCAGAGTCACCACCACCACCGCCATTCTTACTGCTTACAGCCACTTTCAATTCCCTGAGCCTCTCCTCTCGATTTCCCACTCACTTTTAAAACAGCCATAGGCTGCTCTGAACAGCCACCAGCTGGCTCTCATCTCACAGACTCGCTTCCGGGCAACAGCAGGTGCATATTCCAGAGCTAGGTGTGTTAAGTCACACTCGCCCCTAGCGGGCTCTGGGACATTTCTATCCACCCTGGGAGTATGCTGAAAAGGCTCTGCACCACAGAGACACTTCTGCAGAGAAGGGAAGAGACTCTTTCATTGTGAGCATGGAGCCTGACAGTGAGAAAGGTCAGCCAGAGGGCGACCCAACTAGACAGAGAAGCAGCCCAGGGAACCCAGGTGACGTAATTAACCGGAGAGGGAGGAGGTTGGAGAGCAGGAACACAGGCACATCTGACAGAAAGAAGCTCTTATCACAGCATACTTCACTGTCCCCAAGCCTTCTCAAGATGTTGCCAAGAAGTACTGCCTATAATACACTCAGAAGTCCAAAGTTTTTGAAATCTAGTAACCATATGTAATTATAGAAAGAGATGAGCACACTGATTCTTAAAATAGTGCCTTGAGTGGGGGACAATGTGATGAGGATGTGGCTCAGTTGGCAGAATGCTTGCTTAGAGTATGCAGAGCCCTGGGTTCGGTTCCAGCCTTACAGATCTTTTTCTACATGAGCTCACAACAGAGAAGACTTTGAAAGGTGCAAGTACCCTCCAGATCCATAGGGCTGGATGGGAGAGCTCCTCGGTGGGAAAGCACTGCTGTTAGCATGCCCCAGGCAGTGAGTTCGGATCCACAGCACCACAAAATAAATAAATCCACCTCTATTCCAAGCAACCTCCAACCCCAAATCAAAACAAGTTCAAGGTTTGCCGAACTCTTAAAGTGATATTAGACAAAAAAAAATTAAAATAAAAATAAAAGAAATGGTAAGGAGGGATTATAGGCCAGCTGGGCACTTCATTCAAACATACATATCTACATACACACACCCCAGTTTGGATCCTCAAAGGATGTGGTCATCTAATTTGCATAAATAAGATGGAAAGCAATTTCCAGAATTTTAATTCACAACACCTTGCACATTTGGCCCTTGGAGCACAGCTACAGAATCTGAAAGGCAGAGGTTCTCCTTGCTTCCCAACTATACAGTGACAGCACAGATTACAATATTGTCTAATGTATATTGTCTAATGTAATCATAACCGCCACTTTCGTCCTCAAACCAGCAAAGCTAGATTTGAGCCACCCAACTTAATAGTTACTGCAAACTCACAATACGAGAGAAGCAAATCAATAAACTCTTACTATCAGCACTCAAGACGACCACATCTGGTGTCCTTTCCTAAATGTCCTTGCTTTGAATCCCTGTTAACTTCCCTCTACAGAACAAGAATCCAAGGACTGCCCTCCTAAGGCCTGCCTGCCTACCCCCCCATTCCCAATAGGCCTTCAGTTACCTCTCAGGACGTTAAAGCCAACAGTATGTGGTAACTAAACTCTCTGCTCAAATTTAGACAGGTAAGAAAGATTCTAAAGTAAATCCTCTTTAATACCTCTTCAACAGTTTCTGAAATCATGCTCTTAAAAATAGTTTGAAGGAAAGCAAACATGTAAGTTCTAAGAAGTCAGCCTCTTCTAAGGTTCTGGGAGTTGGAGCAAGGCTTGGCAGGGTCTGGTGCTATGTATGAATGTTCTGATTGGAGCATGCCAATCTCACCTATGCCATGAGCTAGGAGTCTCAGTTATGCTCCAGCACTCCTAAGTCATCCACGGCCCTGGAAAGGAATCCACCTCCCTCCATAAACACCCACCTGGACTCACTCGCACTACATTTCTGTTTACTATGAAAAAGTTTTCGTTTCTCTGTGCTTGGCCTAAGAGCAACTCCAGAAGTAGATGTACTGTTTGCAAGAGCGGGAGAAGTCCCGTAAAGCCACAGGTCCCTTGCTATCTCAAACCCACAGCCCGACACTGAGCAGGCTGCAGTCACCTACTTCACAGGAGGCGTGTAAGCTAGCTCAAAGCAACTGCAGACACAATGGCCTTAGAAGGTGTAAAGTCAGTGAAAATACAAGATGCTTTATTATGTTATAGATGGAGACTTTCTCCACTTCTGTCTTACCAGATCATGGCCCAGAGTACGAATATCTTTATGGAGATCCCAGAATAAAAGCAATGGTTTAAAATGAAAGTGCTGATATTAGACATACAGTTGGAGAGAGCATGCTTGCCTATCATGCTCCAGACCTTAGGGTCAACCCTCAATATGGGGGGGGGGGCGGATATTTTGAGAAATCTGAAGATAATTCATACTTGATTTCATTTTTAAGCAGAAATAAAAAAAACTCATAGTAAGTATTTTTCAAAAGACACCCTTTTGTGTGTGTGCGCACTGTATCACCACATACTAACCCAGAAACCACACTGCCTGAATCTTCAATCTAATCCACTAAAGCCATCCTCAGCAGAGTCAAATCTCCCGAGGCTCAAAATACCTAGTCTGGTATTTATTGTGTGAGTAAAACAGACTGCAATTTTAAAGGTATTTACGCTGTGTGAATTGTCACTTTGGAGGCAACCAAAAGCCTAAAAATGACTAGTAAGTTCTGCTCCAAAACAGGGCAAGGCAAGGTGGGTCTTGTGACCTAGGAAAGTGCAAATAAGAACACTCTGTCCTCTCCAGGAAGTTGTGGCTTGGAAACTGAGAGCCTTCCTCACTATGCCTCCGACAGACACATGGCTTTGCAAGTCACTCTTCCAACAGGTGGACACTTAAGAAGTTATACTCATTCTACCCACAAGGTTCTATTATTTAATTTTAAAAAAGAAAACTACCTTAAGTATGCAAAGAAAAACCACACCCCCAGACTGCCTCAACTGTTAATAAATAAAATCCTAGCGAAGAGCAACAGTGTGTTCATCTCCCAGTAACTGACAGCGCCACCGTGTTCAACCCCACTCTAAGACCATGCGTTTTCACTAGTAAACTCCAGAGAGGAAGCAACTCCTGGAGAAAAAGCCTAACAGGAGCCACGACAGCTAAAGGGTCTGTCTCAGCCAGCTTCAGGACTCAACACAGCAGGCTGCTCAAGTGATCCAGGTAAAGACCTACACCTCTCTTTGAGAAAACACAGGGTCTTCTTGTTAAAAAGGGACTAACTTCTCCCCTTCACGGCAGTCTAATGCTCAGGTCTGTAGGGGTGGGTTAAAACCTGTGTCGTCGATTTTTTCTTTTTAAAAACAACAAATGTCATGACTGAAGTTACTGCTGTACCTCTTCTATGTCCTAGGAAAGACATTCAACTGCTCAAGTGAGAAGCAGACTACTCATGCTAGGCCTGTTCTGGAAGGTACTAATAGTTCTAGAGATGCTAGTTACTGATAACCGAGGTCTAAGTTTTTAGAAGTCTAACAAAGCTTTTCTATTGCACTATGTTGACAGAAACCTAATGTCTTTCCGTTTCTGCCAAACCCCCTGTAAGAAGTCTCCCACTAACCTCTGTAGGCCCCAATCCCAACAGCACAGAAATGCTCCTCTGCGGAGTGAAACAGGCTGAGAGGACCAGCCAGGCCCCGGCAACCTCTCCTGAAGCAGCACTACTCCACAACTAACTTGTGCCATTTATGGAGGAGAAACTCGAGGGTGGGACCCACCGCTGGGGATCATCAAGCCCAAGGGGGCCCCAGGGAACAGACAGGAAAGGATCTGGAACACAGTTCTTGTACATGCCAGCCAGGCGGAAAAGGGCGAACAGCCGTACTCAGATCTCCAAGAACTCTCAAAGATCTTCAACTCCTGGGTTCTCCAGGGCAGGATTCCTTTTGCCCTGGCCAATGCCAAGTCAAGCCACCATGATCTCTGGTGAGCAGGAGACAGCAACAAACACTGATAAATAATGTAAACAGAATGAACATTGGAGATAAGAGTCACCTTCATTCATTACCAACTGGAGGGTAAGTTGAGGGAGTACCAACTGGAGGGTAAGTTGAGGGAGCTCAGACAGCAAAGAGCTGGGCTAGTGGAGAGAAAAAAAGGAACATACACCCACCGATCCCGACACAGACTCCGTCTCGCATGCACACAAATCCGCTCACCTCCACTCTTCACTCACAGACATCCACACACACGCACCTCGCACTCCTCGGCACACTCACTCACCTTCAAGGCAGAAACCGGTGGCTCGCCTCCACACCCCATCCACACTCGCTGGCCTGCAGACTCCAGGAAGCACACACACTCAGTCACCCCTACACTCGTGTCCTGAACCCGGGTGCACGAGAACACGCACTGCAAGACAGGCTTCTCCTCCAGAATCCCCTGAGATACTCGCGCTCACCTTCAGACCGCAGAGACCCAGTCCTCTGTCCCGGGCCCCCACGCGCGACCTCCACTAGGCCACCCACAAGTCTCCCAGCCCCACAGAGTGCACTCCGCACCCTGCCCGGCTGTGCACACCCGCAGCCCTGTCCCAGTGACAGCGCCCGGGCGAGCAGCGAAGGTGATACTCACAGGCTCCGCGTCCAGGAGGGCAAGTCCCGGGGCAGCGTCGCCAACCCGCGCCCACTGCAGTCCAGCGAGTCCCCGGCGCAAGTGCAGGCGGCCGCGCAGGGCTCCCGCGAGCCGGCCTGGGCGCCCGCCGACTCCGGCCTTTGCAGTAGCAGCAGCAGCAGCAGCAGCAGCCAGAGCAGAAGGCGAGGCGCGAGGCGCGGGGCCCCGAGCACTCCCGGACCCGGCCGCGCCATCTTGTCTGGAGCGCGCCGCGAAGCCGGGGCGCGAGCGCTGCGAGGTGCGGGCGGGCGGGCGGACGAGCAGGCAGGCGGACGGGCGGGCGGGCGCGGGTTGCGCTCGGCGCTAGGCTCCGCACCCGAGCATGGACGCCCGGTCCCAGTCGGCTCCGCGGCCGCGGCGCTCAGCCGGCACGCTCTGCCCGGGCCGCTTCGCAGCGCCCTGCGGGGAACGCCACCCCCGCGCCCATCCGGGCCGAGCCCTGCGCGCGGCGAACTCCACGGAGTCCCGCGGAGAGTGCTCGGCCGGCCGCTGCTCGTCCTTCGCGCCGCGCTGCGCGTCGCCTTCCGAGCCCGGGCGCACGTCGGGAGAGCCGCCGGCGGCCGCCGCCTGTGGACTGAGGGACGCTTAGGCTCGGCCTCTGCGCGTGGCGCGGGCGAGCATCTTAACGGAGGGCTCTGGGCTGCGAGCCGTGGACCCCACGCGCCTCACGGTCCTGGAGCGTCCGGAGCGCACCGTGCCTCGGCGCGGTGAACAATCAGCGGCTAGCCGCGCCGCGGTCCGGCCCCGCGGCCCCAGGCCCCGCCCCGGCTGCTCGCCCTCACACACCCCTCCGCTGGGGCCCGCGGGCGGGCGGAGAGCGGCCCACGTTGGCTGCAGGGCTACAGAGTTACGCCCCGCCCCGCCCGTTGCTCATTGGCTACCGGAGCCCCGGTCCGTTTCCTAGGCCGTAGGAGCGCAAGGTCCCCGAGGTCCCGCCTCCGCTCGCTTTTCCCACCCAAGGTGTGAAGGGCGGGGACTGGGCGGGGAAAGGGAGGGGTGTGCTTCCTCCTCTTAAAGGAGCCCTGCAGGATGGTGGCTACCCAGCACCGGGATCTAGAAGTGGCCTAAGGGTCCGTTCGGTCCCTTGAGCCTAGGGGAGGAGAGAAAAGTTGGGACCGTAACGCACGGGTTTGGAAGCTCTCTGGACCCTAGGTTTGTTCCGATCCCCCCCAGACTACAAACAACACGGTGGGTTTACAGCAAATGCACACCCTTTTTTCAGATGCCTTCCAGGAGGGAGAAAAAAAAAAACTTTCACGAGTTTCTCAGCTCTTTCCTCAGAGGTGGGACCCCTTCTTTTTCGCACATGCTGGAGCTCATTTCTGCTCCGAACTCGTTCTTCTTGATATCTTAAATTCAGAAATGTGTCCTTGACTACCGAAATGAATGTGTACTGCAGAAATTCAATCTCCAAGGCACGCCCTCTTCCCCGCCCCTAGTTAGTTGGATAGTATGGGGAAAGGCTCCGGACTTGGATAAACGGTTTACTGTGGTCTTGTGTTTTATTTTTGAAAATCGGAGTCTTTAAAAGTCAATTTTCAAGAAACCATCCATGGCATTCTCTTTATAGACAGTCAAAAGAAAAAACAAAACCTGTAAGTTTGGCCTATACGGTTCAGAACGGGTTGATAGCTGCCTTGTGAAGTAGTGCATGAACATAGGCGGGCGTGCACAAACAGTGGGGGGGCGGGGAGGATAAGGTTAGCACTGTAAGACATACCTGCCACTCTGGGCGCTTTGACTTGCTGGTGTCTCACATACATCTCTCCCCAAGAGCATGCAAGTTTCTAACATACTGCACAACAGACAGGGTAGCTAAGCCGTCAGAGTCGGCTGGAAAACATTTGTTCCAGCACGTTAAATCTAACTTACATTTTATAAAAATAGAGTAGAAGAGCTGTTCATTGGGAAGACAAAACCAAAACACTTTGGGTTTTTTCTATCCCACATTCGACACATTCAAGAGGTTTCCTCTGATGCTAAATGTGACTATCCCTCGAGTCTTTTAATTGGACCTGAATTTAGTAGTCAAGTGATTGTTGGCCTTCATTCCTTCCTTTCTCTTTTTCGGTTATTTGAGTCTCATCATATAGCCAAAGTTTTGATCCCCCTGTTTCAGCCTCCTGGGTACCGTCATTACAGGTGTGGACACCACACCCAACTTTGTTTGCCGTTCTTTTTATCCTTACTTTGATCATCCCTTTCTTCTGATTGCTTATACTATCAGATAAATGCTGTCCAATTTCTCTCGAATTTTTTTCATAGCTCTCAAGCTATATTGAAGCAGTGCTCAAATGTGTGTAAATTAAGCCAAATTGATACCTCAGAAATATTACCAGGAAAGCACCGTGCCTGACCCATCCTACTCACTGCTTTAACTGGTGTGTGTGCACGAGCATGTGCATGCATGAGCAGCAACATATGTACTACATGTGCAGTGCACAGAATCATACACCTTCCAGCTACATAAGGAGAAACAGGTCTCTTTGTTTTCATGCCTTTGGGTAGAAATAATAATAAAAATAAGCTGGGAGATGGAATATAAAAGACCCCCAAATTGAAGGAGTCCTCTATCTTGGTATTTAAGTATTTCAAGACCAATGAACACAAAAGAGTACATTTTAAAGATTTGTTTTTATTTTATTTTTAATTGTGTGTCTGTCTGTATGTATGTGGGTATGCACATATGAGTGCAGGGTGTCCAAGGAGGCTAAAGACCACTGTAGTCTGATACAGGTAGTTGTGAGCCACCTGACATGGATGCTGGGAACTGAATTCTCTGCAGGGGAAGTATGGCATACTTAACTACTGAGCCATCTCTCCAGCACTCACACACACACACACACACACACACACACACACACACACACACTTTTTTTTTCCTTTGAAACAACATCTCATTATGTGGCTCAGGTCAGCATCAAACTTGCAACAATCCTCCTGCCTCAGCATCCCAAGTGTGAGGACAAAAGAATAATTTTGGCCCGTAAGATTGGTAGAACAAGAGAGTAATTTGACCCCTGGGACCCACAGGTCAGAAGGAGAGAAATGAGTTTTGCAGGTTGTCCTCTGGCCTGCACACACACACACACACACACACACACACACACACACACACACACACATCTAATTTAAAATTTGATTTAAAAATTTTAATTAATTAATTTTGTGTGTGTGTGTGTGTGTGTGTGTGTGTGTGTGTGTGTGTGTGTGTTGTCTGTATATATGCCTGTGCAACACATGCATGCCCACAGAGGTCAGAAGAGGCATCAGATCCTCTGGCATTGGGAATTACAGACAGTTGTGGGCTTCCAAGTGGTTCTAGGAACCAAACCCAGTCCTTTGCAAGAGCAACAAGTGATCCTAACCATTGAGCCATCTCTCCAGTTGCCTCCTTCCCCCAGTTTTTCAACAAAAGAGTAACTTCATTCAGAATGCTTGTGAGCGTTTCCTTAAAGAAATTTGTCAGGTTGTCCCCACTCACCTCAGCATCAAGCAGCATAATAAATACAGCTGATCACAGTTCTTGAAACAGACTGAAAATTACCTTTAGGTTGGTACCAATTGAGTGTTTGCTTGCAGGTGGAGCTATGAGATGTGTTTGGGACCTCTAGAGTCCTAGAGAACAGGATTTGGTTATCTGCAAGGTAATTTGCCCACAGATCTACAGCATCCCCTGTGGTCTGGTTACCACACCACCAGAAAAGAGGATTCCAAACAGAGAAAGTCTTGGGGGGACGGGGCGCCTGAGCCTTGGCAGTTCTTCTTGTCTACAGCAAAGCATGAAGTCATGTCTGCTCCTCACACCATGTATGGAAGTCTGCCCACATACTAGCAACCTGCATGTGATTGCAGCAAGAATGTGAGCTGGAGAGCAGAGATCCAGCTTAGAAAAGAATCATCTGTGGCCACAACCTAAAACCAGGAAGAGAACATCAAGGAAGACTTTGAAGGAAAGCTACCTACTAGAAGAACATGGTCCTTTCAGCACAGAGCAGTGTATTCTAGATCTCCATTTTAATCTACTGCTTTAATTTTTTTTTAATTCTCTGGTGTAGTCCA